GGCCGGACCCTGTTGGTGGGTGGCGGGTGCCCCCACCCCCGCGCCCGTTCTTTGCACAGCTTTCACTTCTCTGTTTTCCACTGTCGCTTTCTGGCCTGACCCCCACATCCTCGGGCGCTGTCCCCTGGGTCCTGAAGGCTCCTCAGAGGCGGCGCCCTGGGCGGGGGAAGCCTGCGCCTCCCTTCCACGCTCCTTTGGATTTCCTCACAGTGAGGTTTTGTTACGGTGCCAACGTGGTGTTTACATTTTGAATTGCGATGAAGTGTGCCCGTCAACATCAAGCCTCTTCACCGTCTCTGAGTGACCAGTTCGTGGCATCAAGGACGTTCACACACGTGTGCGCTCATCACCAACATGCATCTCTGGAACTTCTTCACGCTCTGCAGCTGATTCTTTAAGCTAACACCCAGTCCCCGTGGCCCCTCTGACTTTCCTTAGCACCTGCACTACCGGCTGGTCTCCAGAGAGCAGGCTGATGGGCTAAGGGCTTTCTCGGACCGCAGCGTGGCCCCTATGGCGGTGACACTGTGCTGATGCCTGTTGGTTTCTATGGTTACTGCTGAGTAGGGCAGATGACACTTTCTATATAGCGACGTGAGTATTTCACTGCATGCACAGAGTACTTCCTTTTAAAGTAGTTTTTCTGTAAAGAAGGATCATTTTGTCTTATTGTTTTAAGATTTATTTATTACCTATGCACACAGAACTGGGGTACAGGCCAGAGGTACAGGGGCAGTGGATTCACCAGAGACAGTGGGGAGCAGCTGTGGCCAGCTCCGTAGTGCTGTGCTTTAACCCATTGAGTCACCAGGTGGGGCCCAGAGAAGGATCCTTTTAAAAGAACAAATAAGAAACATACAGGGGTTATCTGGGTGTGGTCTGGTGTGGGAGGGTGGCAGGCAGAGAGGACCGGGCATGGGGGTCCAGGCTAGTGTGGCTCCCCGCCACCCACCACAATGGACGGAACCAAAAATAACACAAAGTTTTCCCACTAATTCCTTTGCATGTTATTCCCCACTTCATCTAGAAATGAAACAAACCCCTTTCTGGTAGGAATGGCTACCGACTGTACAAACGGGGGGCCCGAGGCCAGGAGCCACGTCGTGGCAAAGCCACGTAGAGAAGCAGCCTCCGGCCCCAGAGCCTGCCCTGGGACGTGCGGCAGGCGCACCAGGACTTCTCTGCCGGGCTCCTTCAGCCACACAGGCCAGGGGCAGGAGCAGTGTGAGGATGACGTGCGGCGTGGGGTGGTCAAGAGGACGCCGAGGTCACCGTCCGCCGGGACCTGGGAGCCTGGGCCTTTTCGGAGCAGTGTGTGCACTCAGCACGAGGGTGGGGCCACCTGCAGCAGGCGTCCGGGCCAGACTGGACAGTGCTTGTCTAGCAGCGTCGAGGTGTCTTCGTGTATCAGACGGCTTTTAATGGGCGTTTCGGAGGCAAATGCAATATTGGCGGTGGGTTTGGCTTTGTGCTTGACAGATAAGCGTATAAGTGTCGTGTGTGTGTGTGTGTGTGTGTGTGTGTGTGAGACCAGTTATTTGAGTGAAATCGGGCAGCGCGCCTTAAAGAATTCAGTTGGGGGAGGAAGGTTCATCGCTCTAAGCTCCTCTGATTATCTACGACAGGAAACACAAACCAAAATAGTTTAAGTAAGACAAAGGAATGTTCGGGCTGATGAAAGGGCAGCCGACAGGCTCTGTCCAGCAGGCTCTCGTCCGACACAGCGTGGGCGGGACGTCCGTCCTCCCACCCTGTCTTTGGCAATCCCCTGGGGCAGCAAGGCGGAGGCCCCGGTCTGTAGTCCAGCGCGGTGGCGGGACGAAGTCCCCGCCCTTGTGCGGCCGCCGTGTGGACGGGCCGAGCGAGGCAGCAGCCCCAGGCCTGGGCCCGCTACTCCCGGTGGACGCAGGCCCGGCAGCCGGAGCCCAGCAGGTGCCCGCGGGAAGGACAGCACGCGTGTGCGCGCCTTGCTCGCCTGCTGGCTGGCGTGTTCTGGGCTGTGCGGGAGGTGTCTAGTCCCCCCGCCTGCCTGGGGTCCTCGAGGGAAGCCCTGAGACCTGGGAAGCGCCTGTGGGATGTGGGGGAGGACGTCCCATGGACTGGAGGCCAGTGGCTGTGTCCAGGCGCTGAGCCTCCGGCTCCAGCTTTCAGGCGGGTGCTGGGAGCCCCTCCCCACCCCCGGCGGGACTCAGGATGGTTCTGTGAACCCCTGCAAGGGTGCGGCCCCTCCTCCTCCACTTCAGATTTGGTCAGATGAAGTTTGTATTTGCCGACCTCCGACCTCCTCCTAAACAAGACACTTGTCCAGAGGATCTCAGCCGAGAAACGGGGACCATTTAAAGAATAATGAGTCCTTTTGAAACTCTCGCAGGAAAGAGAAGAGGGGGCCGTCATTGCCCAGCTTATGCTTTTGAGGCCCACATTACGGTGACTGTGAGCCAGACAGAAATGTTCACAAGAAGAAATCCGCAGGCCAAGCCCACAGAGCTCCTTAATGGACCCCGCACTGGTCAAACGCAGAACAGGGACGAGAGGAAAGGACAGCGCGCTGTGACCAGCGAGGCGCGGCAGGGCGTCGGGTGACCGGAGAAGACGGTCCAGGGGCGTCGGGCGAGCTGCCAGAGCCCAGGCTGGTGGGGGCCCGAGGCAGGAGGCGCCATGGCGCCACCCTCAGCGTGTCTCCGAGGGCGTGGCCGTCCCTTGCCGGCCTCCAGTTCCACGTGCCCTTTAGCCGAGTCCTCGTGGCCACTCACTTTGTCTGTCCTGTCCCCACTCAGCGTCGGCCCTGGGAAGTGTGTGTGTGGGGATGTTCTCCCCAGTGCTGGACTGTGCCAGATCATTGCACGACCCCGTGGGTATGGGCTTGGTGACTGCTCGCTCCTGCAGGGCGCCCCCAAGGAGTGGGCTTGGGGGCCGAGAGGAGCAGGGGTGCGTCCTTCTGTGCGGCAGAGGAAGGGGTGGAGGTGGGAGCTGGGAGGGGGAAGCGAGCGTGGCGTGAGGGCGGGGCCCAGCCCGGCAGGAGCAGGGAGGCTGGGGCTCTGGGCCGCCCGTGCCTGCCTGCCTCGCGCTGGAGCCGTGGTCGGGCTCCGAGGGCGCCTGTGGGGGTGGGGCGAGGGGCTGCCGTGGGGTCCTGGCGAGGGGCTGGGTGGGGCTTCAGTCCAAGAACAGGAAAAACAGACAGGAAGCGTGTGAGCGGCCAGCAGCTAATGCTGAGCTAATTTTGATGGTAGAAATATGGACGTTTGTTCTGTTATTACAGTCTTTGTTCTTTCCTGTTGTCCTAACTTCTAAATAAAACCGCTCCCTCCTGATATTTGATGTACCTTAGAGGACTCACCGCACCCGCATTTTACGGGAGGTCAGTAAACGGACTCCCAGCAAGAAGGGACCTGGGAGCAGGCCAGGGCCTGGGCTCCGGTGTCCGAGCCCAGATGCAGATGTGGTCTGACAGGCTCGTCGCCTCCAGGCCACACACAGCTGCTCTCCGCCAGTCTGGCTCGTTGGGGTACCCCGGAAAAGCGCTGCCGATGCCCCTGGAGGCTCAGGCTGGCTCCTTCCCGGGTGGGGGTGCAGTGCTGGCTGGGGAGCGGTGCTGGTGTGGACAGCCACCGTCCATCAGAGGCCCAGGCAGAGGGAGAGGCAGGGAGTGTGGAGGAGATAAGCGGGGAGGTGACGGCTGGAGCGGCCTGCCGCCGGCGGGCCTGAGATACGGGGCCCTTTCTGAGTGAGTCAGAATGTTCTGAGGGAGCAGGGTGGTTGAATTGATGTGCCTTGGGTGCCCACGTGCTTGGTCAGACGTTATTCTCGGTGCTTCTGTGAGGCGCTTCCTCCTGCTTCCCAAACGGGGACACTGAGGCCTGAGCACACACAATGGACCCTGTAGGCCCTCTGTGCCTCTTGCAGGTACAACCAAGTCACGCCGGCTCAGATTGTCCCGGAGGGAGTCGGGTAACTGAAAAGAACCCTGAGCTGGTGATGGAAACACCACCCTAGCCGCCAGCCAGGGGGGCCTTCCAGCTTCAGATGCAGCATCCCGGAGCCCAGAGAAGCCCTGGGTGCGAGCGGGCTGGGGCGGGGCGTGGGGCCCGGCTGTGCCGCGCTCGGCTGCCTGCCCCACCTGCCGCGGTCCTCGGCCTTCACCATTTACCTGCGGGTGCCCAGCTGCCTCGACACCCGTGGCGCCACCTCCCGTGGCACTGAGCTTAGCGGAGTTGAGAGGGTGCAGCCTGGCCTGAGGGTGGGTAGGTGCTTCCTTCCCTGGCAGCTGGAGGTCCGGACCCTGCTTGTCTTATCTCTTGGCCTGTGTTAGCCCTGGAGGAAGAGGAGGGACTTGCCTTTTATTTATTTGCTAAAGATTTATTCATGCATATAGAACTGGGGTACAGGCCAGAGGTGCGGGGGTGGTGAGAGGAATCACCAGAGACAGAGCGGGGAGCAGAACAGGCAGATCAATGAGGTGCACTGCTGAGGGGAGCAGCGGGCGGGTCAGGAGAGGTCTGCCGCGCCCTGGGGGGTCACCTCCGGGGCGGAGATCAAACTCGCACTGAAGTGGCCAAGGCCAGCGTGCAGTGCTGTGTCCGTCGCGCCACCAGGGAGGACCGGGACTTGCCTTCTTAAAGGTGACAGGAGGCCCAGACCTGCCGGCCTTGCCCCCGCCCCCCCCCCCAACCTGTGAGCTTTCTCCTTTGCCCTGGCTCCGGCCGCCAGTCCGGGGAGTGTCTGTGTGCCCGCGTCTGCGCGCCTGTGCCAGCTCCCACACCCCGAAGCCTCTTGAGTTTAACGGTCCGTGGCAAGCTCGGGGTGAGCGTGTGGCCAAGGCTCCTGCTCTCCTGGTGTGGGCCGAGTCCTCGTCACTGTCCCCCCTTAGCGCCTCAGAATCGCCTTCCAAAGTCTCCTGGGAGGGGTTCACAGGTGCGTTTGCTCAGGGATTTGACCTCTCCCTTGGCTGTGGGGAGCCTTGTTTTCAGAGGTCTCTGCCGCTGCGGCTCGGTCTCCAGGCGCTCTGCCAGCCGCTCGCTCGGCTGCGCTGTGATGTTGGGTGATCCCGAGTGCCCGGGAGGGTGCTCCCCACCTGGCTGACGGGAGACTCGGCGTCAGGCCAGAAGATCGGACGTTTCGGTGTGTTTCACACTGTTGCTTCTGAATCCTCCAGAACGTTGTGTCCGCGGCATTAAGCACAGGTCTGCTCCGCGGGTTCCTGTGCTGAGCGCAGCTCCAGGGAGTGATCTTTGGGGGGCTCCCTGCTGGTTTCCCTCCCCGGTCCTGGATCACATGCTGCAGGCTCACAAGGCAGCACCCGAGTCTGCAAAGTGGGAAGCTGGTCAGGACGTTCACCCAACTTTTGTCTCAGGCCCCAGCGACGTCGCTGCTCCCGGGTGGCGTGCCCTGCTCGGCCAGCACCTCCCAGGAAGGCCCGGATGGTCCTTTGAATGTTGAGGTGGTTTCCAAGTCTCCTGTTGATGTGCTCGGCAGGGGTGTGGGGGGGGGCCCCCGACCCCGGGCCTCGACTGGGCCCGTTTCGCCTTTAGGTTTGGAGCTGGCCGAGATGGCCTGTCTAGGACCCGGCCCCACAAGGGGTGCAGTGGCTTTGGCTTCTGCTCCTCTGTGCCTCCGGGGAGGCTCCAGAGAGTCAATCCTTACCTTCATGCTGCAGGTCTTCCACCCGGCCGGAGGTGGCCAGCATCGAGCCGCTGGGCCCGGACGAGCAGCAGTGCTCCCAGAAGGCCGTGGTGCAGGCCCGCCTGTCCCAGCCCGCCCGACTGACCAGCATCATATTTGCCGAGGATGTCAGTAAGTGCCCGGGGCGTGCCGCGGGCCCGTGGAGGGTGAGAGCCGGGAGTCACCCGGGACCTGTGGCCGCCAAGGCTGCAGGCCCAGGCGGGAGGGCGCCCGGGCAGCAACACCCGCCCTGCTCCCTCCTGCAGATGCTTGTCCGTCTCCCCTCCTGTGCAGGCCGAGTTTTCATTCTGAGGTGTTATTTGTCATCCAGATAACTTTTAACAGATACTGAATCAAATGAAGAAAGTTGTTTTGACTTCTCCAGGTTTAATTTACCGTAACCATGATTGTAAACTGCTTAGAAAACAAACAGGATTTTTTCATCATGCTTTCCCCTCACTTGACATGGTAGGAAACCTTTATTGTGGAATTATTTCTAATGCCTGAATAGTATTCTGACATGAGGTGGTCCCGTACACGTCCACTTACTCTGGACATTGAGGTTGTTTTCAGATGTTTGTTGTGGTGTTAATAGGAAAAGAAATACTTCTGTACAGAGAATTTGGGCCTCTTTAGGGGATTTCCAGTCGAGGATAAATTTCCAGTTGCTCTGGCCGCGGCATCTGGACAGTTTTAAGCCTGTTGATAAATGGCCTGTATTGCTTTCTAAGGAAAGCCCCCTGGGGGCCACACAGCTTTCTGTGGAGCCTGGAGAATGGTCAGAATGATTCTGTGGCGCCTTCGTCTTCCTGACACAAGCGAATTCTCCTGGCAGTGCCAGTCACGTGTCCCAGTCACGGGGCAGGAGAACCTGTGCTCACGGCCGGCTCTCGGGCTCTGTCCCCACGGGTGTAGCTGGTGGTCCTGCGTGTGGTTCCCGGGGAAGCGCACCTCCAGGCCAGAATTCTTCCTGGACACCCATTTGTTACATTTGTTTGATGATCACACTCAGCAAAATTAGGTTTTCCTGGAGGAGTGCTTTTTTTTTCTTTTTAAAATAATATTTTTTAAAAATACGGATTCAAGTATTTTATTTTCCCATTAGCTATTCAAGGCTTAAAAACTAAATTTATTTCATTTAAAAAAATACCAAATAAGTGTGAAAATTAAAAATAATAATAGTTTATTTTACATCATTTAATGCCTTTTTCCACCTCAGTTGTCATCCCCGTGGGCTTCCCATCACCGTATCACCCGTGTGCCATCACCAAAGTCCAGTGCACTGCCCCCAGGCCCCCCCATTTTTGATCCTGTTCCCCACTCCACCCCTGTAAAATGTCTCTGGTATATAGTTGTTCATTGTTATTATTATTATTATTATTATTATTATTATTATTATTATTATTATTATTATTTTCTCGCCTGATCTTTTATACTCCTGCTGTGAGTGAAACCATCCAGTATTTTTCCTTTTCTTTCTGGCTGATTTCACTAAGCATGATCCCTTCCAGCTCCATCCATGTTGCTGCAGAAGGCCTGTGTTTACCTTTTTGATTGCTGAGTAATGTTACATTGTGTATATGTACCCCATCTTGATCCAGTCATCTATTTTTGGGTATTTGGGTTGATTCCACATCTTTCATATTATAAATAAAGCAACAGTAAACATGGGGGGTGCAGGTGACTTTTTGAATGAGTGTTTTTGTGTCTTTTGGGTAGATCCCTAGTGGTGGGACTGCTGGGTCCTATGGAAGCTCCATGTTTAGCAGTTTGGGAACCCTCCAGTTTTCCATAGTGGTTGTACCAGTTTGCACTCCCACCAGCAGTGCAGGAGAGCTTCTGGAGGAGTGTTTTACACACCTGCTGCTCATCATCAAACGGCGGGAAAGTGCCCCTAGGGCTGGGCCCGCTGCTTTCAGGGGAGCCGCGCGCTGTTTGGCTGCTGGCTCCTGAGGGTTAACTTGGCCCCTCCGACCCTGTTTTGTGGTGGTGTTTTTATGGGTTACCCTCATCTTTGCCCTGGGGTGTGGGGTGGCAGTGGGGGTACTGCTGATGGGGCTGACCCCGCCCTTCGCCCCCCAGCCACCGGCCAGGTCCTGCGCTGTGACGCCATCGTTGACCTCATCCACGGCATCCAGATCGTCTCCACCACCCGAGAGCTCTACCTGGAGGACTCGCCGCTGGAGCTGAAGATCCAGGCGCTGGACTCGGAAGGTGAGGTTGCTCCTGGCCGGCCTGCCCTGTTACTCAGCGCGCCTCCCAGCGCTGTCCCTGGGGAGTCTGGGCCATGCAGGGAGTGACGCTGGTGCTGAGGAGATGCTGGAGTCACAACCCCTCGGTGGGCCCTGGGCCCCCTGCGGTGGCCAGTGTGCCCTGGCCAGGCAGCGGCCTGCGGGCAGAGTGCGACAGCTCGAGGCCGGCTCGGAGCCTGAGCCCGTGGCTGGCGCACGTCCTTGGGAGCGGACGCCGGCATGTCTTGGGACAGTGAGGGGACACTGAAACAACCTGGGGTCGCCTTGCTGTCGGGAGTGAGAGAGCTTGCTCAGGCCCCGAGGGCCGGGGTGGCGGGGGAGGTGGGCAGTAGCCGATGGCGGGCCCGGACTGTCCTCCTGGTCTTCGCTTGAGCAGAGTCACTTTGGCTTGTTCTGGGCTGCGATTCTTCCCAGAGACTCTGCTGGCAGAGTGTCCTGGCTGCAGCCTGACCTCTTCGTAAAGGAACAGAGGAGCAGTGTGTTGGTTGAGATTCTCGTTCAAGAAGGTCAAAGTCAGGCCAAAAGAGACAAAGATTCTTCTAGAACTTCAAGTCCACACCAACTCTTGCCTTGCCTTTGAAATCGCCCCTGGAATTGCCTGGCTCCTCCCCACTCGACCCCCTTTCAACATCTTTAAAGATGGGGGTGTCCAGCCTAGGTATTACTGACAGTGGGCAGAAGGCGCTGTAGGGCGTCACACGGCGCTTGGCCTCACGCTGACCGCTGCCCCCGGTGCTGGCAGAACTCCCCAAGCTGCAGCCACAAGCTGTCCCCGGCCCCTGCTGGGTGGCCCTGGGGCCGGAGCCGGAGCGTCCTGACTCCTCCTCCTCTGGGTGGCCCTGACTCACTGTTGGTCTGGGAAGCTGAGCGTGGTGCTGAGCCGGGGCCGGTAGGTGAGGTGAGGTTAGGTGAACGTGCAGGGCGCAGGGGCGCATTTTGCTAGGTCCTGGGGTGCTGCGTGAGGAGGGAAGGAAGGAGCCTCACTCGGGGGGAGACGCGAGCACTCAGGCGGCCCCACGCGTCGGCAGGCGCTGTTTGCAGGAAACCTGGACGTGGAGTGTGCAGGGGCCCGGGGGCTGAGGTGGAAGTGGACAGGAGTCACTGGTTCCCTCGAGACCTTGGTCTGAGCTGAGCCTTGCGGAAGGTGGGGTTTGCCGGCAGGTTGGCAAGTGGGATGTGAAGGTTGGAGCACTTCTGAGGAGACAGACGGCGGGGAGGAGCGTGAGGGCGCAGTGCCTGCGTTTCAGAGGGGTCTCTGCAGAGGGAGGCCGGAAGGAGCGTGCGTGGGGGGCTTGTGTGGGCTCCTGGCGTGGGGGGCTCGTGGGGGCTCCCGGCGTGGGGGGCTCCCTGCCTGTGGCAGGAAGCAGAAGGGCAAAGCTTGAGGACAGAAGTCTGGGCATCCGTGCGCGTGCGCGCACACACACACACACACGCACGAGTGTTACCTCTTTCTTTTCCTGAGTCTGTTGTGGGCGGATCTGCTCTGTGAAGGTGAACTTAACCCTGGTAACCTTTGAGGGACTCGCTGTCTCGGTGAGCGGGTGTTTGTCAAAAAACATACCGCGTATGACTCAGAAAACAGTTAGGTGCCCTGTGTGTGCCCAGGCACCTGTACCAGACAAGGGCTCATGGTGTCAGCCTGTTGTATAGACGAGGACGCTGAGGCCCAGAGAGCTCAAGTGACTTGCCCAAGGTCACACAGCGTGTGGGTGGTAGACAGACACCTTTGCACTTGGCCACCCTGCCTAGTTCCTGCAGTTTTCCTGGGCGTGGGTGGCCTCTCTACCAGGCTGGGCCCACCTTTGTGGCCTGAGGGTGTTTGCAAAGTGCCACCTGGAGTTACCACCTGCAGCTGCCGCCTGGCACAGCACTGCTGCCTGTTAGCAGACTGGCTCAGCCTGGGGTCATCAGGCTCCTCCACACCCCTCTTGCCGCCTGTCCGGGCATCTTCCTCTTGCTGCCTGACCGTCTTCCTGCTGTCTCCCCGCCCCCTGTCCCCCACCGGTCCAAGGCAGAGCTGGTTCTTCACTCTGAAGCTGCCGCAGCAACTCCCTGGCCCCGACCCCAGCTGTGGGGCTCTGCGTGCTCCACATTGTCGAGTTCAGCAGGTGGAGGGAGGAGCTGGGGTCACTTCGCTCTCCTGAAGTCCTCTGTATGTGATAGTGGACTTTGGGCCCAGCAGGCATCTGGCCAGTGTTTGCTGACTTGAGTTGCTTAATGTTTTTCTCCCGCCATCTGTGGACCAGGACAGTGGAGCACCGCCCTGCCCCCGCCCCCTTCCCCCCACCCCAGACTGGGCCCCTAGGTTTTCTGGTTAAAATTAGCACTTACCTGTGAAAATTTAAGGTCACAGGCACACATAGTAGGTGCTAATAGCTACTTTTGTGAATAGAGAAAGCAACCTCCTGCAGAAGCTTCTTGAAAGCCCCCCCCCACCCCATGTAAATTCCTGGTCGGTCAGGCTTGACCCTTTTGGCAGAGAGGTGCCTTCCCGCTCCCACCCTCGGGGCTGTCAGGGTCACAGTGAGAGAGCTGCTGGCTGGTTTTCTCGCCCAGAGATCAGTCTCCCCTTCCCACCCTTAGAGCCAGCTTTGCACAGGCCTGAGGCGGCCCAGGCTTGGTTTCCCTCGGCTGTGGCCTTGACCCTTGAGTACATCTCACGCGTTTGAGTGGAGTCCGGGGCGGGCAGTGGAGCCTTGGTCACAGGAGGCCTGCTGGCCCGACCAGAGTGTGGCGGCGTGTGGGTCCCACTTCGGCTCCGGGTGGAGGAAGGTTCTCCGGGTCAGAGCCCTGAGAGAGACGAGCAGGCTGTTGGCGGGCAGTGGGCTCCTGTCTCTGGGGTGTGCAGGGAGCGTGGACTGGGGGCGTGGCCAGGGGGTTCCTGAGTCCAGGGCAGCCATGCTTGGCTGGGGTGGGTCTCGCCACCCACTCTCACACCAGGCGTGCACAGTGCTGGGGAGACAGCTTACTCGGGTCAGGACGTGCTTCTGCGTGAGCCGTGCACAGCGCTTGTCTGTTGGGCTGGCTCGTGGGCACGGGCCTGTGGGCCAGGGCCCTCTGAGAAGGCTGCCTGCCCGCCCCCTCCCGAGGGCCTGGGCGCTCACAGGCTCGGTTTCATGCCAGGAGCCTTGGGCCCTCACCTGCCACTTCTTTCCCTGCGTACAGGAGGTCAGCAGGGCCCAGGAGCGCTGGGGCTCTGACCTGCTGCAGCGGCCAGGCAGGTGCCGCAGGAAGATGCAGCATCCCAGGGGCAGGCCCGGCCCCCCCACACCCCGCCCCCGTCCCACGGGGCCCTGATCCTTTGGGCCTTGGCTCCCTTCCCCACTAGCAGCATGACGCCCGCTTTGGGGTGGCAGGGAGGGGCGCCCTTGGCCAGGAGTTCACTCCAGGGCATTTCTGTGCCCCCTTCCCCCATCTGCTCCTACAGGGAACACGTTCAGCACCCTGGCGGGGCTGGTCTTTGACTGGACAATTGTGAAGGACACGGAGGCCAGCGGGTTCTCAGATTCCCACAATGCACTGCGGTAAGAGGCACCTTTGCCTGCTGCAGAGGGACATGGGAAGGGGTCATCCCTGGTCCCTGCCGGGGCGGTGGCGGGGGGGGGGCACGCCGGGCGGGCTAGCTGGGGGCTCCAGGAGGCAGGTGTCCAGGCCCGGCTCACAGCCCCTCCATGCAGACGTGCCCAAGCCCTCACTCCAGGGCGCCCGCTGCCCGCCCGGCCAGAGCACTCTCCGGACCTGAGTGTGCCGGACGAGCTCCTGAGTCGCCGGTGTCTCAGGTCTGAGCCCAGCCTCCTCGTCTGCCCCTGGGTCGTCCTGGGAAGGGCCTCGTGGCCGGCACACTGACGGACGGGCGCAGACCCCAACTTGGCCCGGGACGCAGATGCTAGGTGCTGGGGGCGCCGGCTCCCTGCCCGCTTCCGCACCACCAAGCCCATTTCCTGCCGTGAGCGCCCTGCGCTCCCCCACGCTCGGTACGCGAGCTGAGTGTTAACTGAAATGCAGGGCGTGGAGGCGTGCTGGAGCTGCTGTCCTGGGTTTTCATTAAATTCAGCATGTGACACCTGGTAAAATCAGGCAGGAAAATAAATCTCGGTGTAGCGCAGCACGGGCAGATCTGAGGGGGCTGAGAGTGGGCCCCAGGGTTGCTCCCACTCAGGCAGGACAGCGTGGGCCGGCTTGTAGGTTGCAGCCTGCAGGGGGAATCGCGTTGAAAGGGTCCCTGGCCTCAGCGCTGCTGGCCAGCCACATTCCAGGGAGGGGGCTCCCCCTCCCTCGGCGCTCCTCCCCACAGCCTCCACTCCCCTCCCCTGATGCTTGGGGGGGTCATGTCATGGAGACTCAATTCCCAAGGCAGGCGGAGGCGCCCTGGGGAGCCGGAGGGCACTGCTGACCCCGCCCCGGGGGGCCTGGTGTCTCTGGCCGCTTCTTGGCGGCCCGCACCTTTCACATCTGTGAGAACGCGGCCTTCCGACCCGGTGGGTTGTGGTCCTGTCTCAGCGTTTATCCGGTCACGTGAAGGTAGACAAAATGCAGGATCCCGGGTCTTGTGCAGAGGTCAGAACCAGGGGCCAAGAATCTGACCTTTCCACATTGTTCCTGCTAAAGGCAGTTTTGGGGATCCACGTCTAAGCACCTCCATGAGGGCTACACACCTGGCTTGGCACCTGGCACCCGCCAGAGATGCCCGTAGGTGGTGTCAGGTGCTTCGGTTCCAGACGCCAGGCCCGACATGCTCCTTTTCCAGAATCCTCACCTTCCTGGAGTCCACATACACACCTCCGTCCTACATCTCGGAGATGGAGAAGGCGGCCAAGCAGGGGGACACCATCCTGGTGTCGGGGATGAAGACCGGGAGCTCCAAGCTCAAGGCGCGCATCCAGGAGGCCGTCTACAAGGTGGGTGGTGCCGGGGTGGGGCCCGTGGCTGTGCTGCGCAGCCACGTGTCCCCGTGGCAGTGGGGCCCGTGGCCAGCGCTCCTGAGGTGGGAGGCTGGGGTGTGGGTGCAGGCTGGCGCGTGCTGGCCTGGACACTGTCGCGCGAGGGGAGGGTGGCCCCCGAGGGCCGGGGCTCCCCTGCCTGCCGCGTGGGGGTCACCTAACGGGCAGCCATGCGAGGGGCCTGGGAGCGTTGCCTCCTGTTCCGGGGCGAAGCCACCTGCAGACTGGGAGTGTGAGTCCGGGCAGTGAGCCCACCTCAGGGAGACGATGACAAGAGGGGCTGTGCTCCCCGAGGAAAGTGTTTGCACATCTGTGGGCTCCTTGGCCGTCAGTGTTCTCCCACTCTCAGTGGCCAGATAGCCCAAGGCGCGCACGGTGCTGGTCCTTGTGGAGCCGGCCACCCAAGGGGGTGCTGGGCTGGGGACGGGCGCCCTGTCTCCCTGGTCCGGTGTCCAGGGTGTGTGCTGATGGGGCGAGGGTCCTGGGGGTGCCAGGCGGGCCGGGGTGAGGAGCAGGGCTGCGTCCCCAGCAGACTGGCGCCCCCTCCGCGGGCTGCTCCGGCCGCCCTGGCCTTGGCCTTCTGTGGGGGTGTCCTGGCCCGGGCGGTGCTTGGCGGCCCCCGCTCTAGCTCCCGCGCTCCCCCCGGCCGCTTGCTGTCACTGCACGCTGGCCCGTGACCACCGCACAGGGTGGCGTGTCCGGCCGTGACGCCCGAGCGCTCGCCTTCTGTGCCTGTGGCGTGTTTTGGGGTGTAGGCTTTGGACGTGCGCTGCCAGATGTCATCTTGGTTTCCCAGCGCAACTCGCTGTTGCCACACAAAGTCGCGGAGATGCTTGTTCTCCTGCCCCACCCCCGTGACCCCACCTGACCTTCCTGCCTTTTCTTTGTGCCCAGCACGTGCACCCCGCGGAGGTCAGGCTGCTGATTCTGGAGAACATCCTTCTGAACCCGGCTTACGACGTCTACCTGATGGTGGGGACCTCCGTTCAGTACAAGGTGCAGAAGATCCGGCAGGGGAAGATCACAGGTGGGTCGCGGGCACGGCGGGGCCTGGCCTGAGCCTGGGCGTGGCCAGCAGGGCTGAGGGGCAGGACACGCCATTCTCCTGGGCCCCCCTCTTGCCCACGGGGCTGTGCTCTGTGAAGGGCAGCAGGCGGTGTGTGCCCAGCCTGAGGCTCGGTCTGCAGAGGGGTGAGGAGTCAGAGGGGCTGGTGGAGGGCGGGGCGGGTTCTGCCCAGAGCCCGGCATTTACCCAGACTTCAGGGAGCAGAGACCAAAAGCCCAGGGAGCAGCCCAGGCCTGACTTTTCTGAGACTCTGGAGGGGACGACAGCTCAGAGGTGGCCTCCTCGGGACACTGACCGGTGTCCTAGGGAGGTTCGCAGCAGTGGGGGGGAAGGGGGGGCGGGGAGGTGTTGAAACCAGCAGAAATACTAACTTCCACGCGGAGACTCTGGTGACGAGGGCAGTGGACGCAGCACGCCCTGAGCTGGGCTGCCTGAGCAGGGGCTGCGGGCAGAGGCAGAGGCGTTCGCCCATCACCCTGGGCTCAGAGCCCCCCCTCAGGTGCTCCCCGGTCACCCCTAGGGCCCCCTGGAGCGGACAGTGGGGGGACTCTGGCAATAAGAAGCGCATCTCCAGGGCTAGCCAGAGTGGGAAGGGCCTCCTGGCAGTGCGACGACAGCCTGGGGGACAGCGCTGTCCTCTGAGGTGGCGGCAGGCCGGCCAGGGCTCGGCGCGGCCTCGCTGCGTGCGGGCCTCTGCGCTCCTGCAGTCCTCCGTCCGCTGGCCGCCCAGAGCCGTGAGTGCATCCCGGGAGGCGCTGCAGGCTGCCGGCCGGCCTTCTTCCCGCCTTCTGCCCGGCCTTCTGCATCGTGTGTGTGAGAGGCCTGGAGAGTCTCTGCGTCCGCCTCCCTTCAGCACTTCGGTGCCTCACAGACAGCAGTGCTCCGACCAGTGACGCCGCCGGCCCGTGGCAGCGTCGCAGCCCTCGTGGCCAGGCGTCCAGGCCAGCCTCCGGACGTGGGCTGTGTGTCCACCCCTGCAGTGACCCTCAGAACCCACCCCTCGAGGGCCTGAGGGGGCCTGGGGTCCCCTCATCAGTCTGAATTGGCAGGGGTGGGGTCCGTTATTTGTAGTTTCCAGGGGGGATTGATGGTCCGGAGACCGCCGTCTCAACCCTCTGCCCCCGAGAAAATAGCTGGAACACACGAGCTATGCGGAAAGGAGGAGGCAGGTGGCTTGCCTTTCAGATTTCTCTGGAACTCTGAAGAATGCTGTCCCTGAACCCCCTCTGGGACCCCTGCCCCGGGCGCCTCCGGAGGCGGCCACTGAGGGGCTCTGGGGAGGACTGGCAGCTGGTGAGCGGGATACTTGCTGGGAAACTCTGTGGGCAGTGGACAGGGCAGGCTTGCTGCGTGGCGACCCCCGGTCCTTGTCTCGATCCCCACGCTCCCGACCTCTGACAGGCAGCATTAGCAGCTCCTGTTTCAGGGGTAACTTGGGGTGGTGCGCACATATGGCCCTGACCACCTCTACCTCCCAGTGGCCAGCAGCGATCCGCTCAGACCGGCTCTGAGTGTCCAGCTACAGGGTGTGGAGTCCCGTTACTTCCTGGGGAAATTATTTTCCATCCTGGCCCACGTCTGGCCAGTTCTTCCTCCCACACAGAGCAGGCAAGTGTCGATGGCCAAGAGAGCAGCACGGAGATTTTTTGCAAATGATGGTCCTGCTCCTGAAAACCGGAGGGAGGCCGTGGGTTGGCACCTTTTCGGTAGCCCCCAGAGGATGCACAGACCCAGCGAGCCCCACCCTGGGCCCTGGGTGCAGGAGCAGGGACCTGCTTTTGTGGTGACGGCCCGCGGGGCTCCGGCCTCAGTGCGCGTCGGGCGTCTGAGTCGGGCGGGTGAGCTTGAACCCGGCAGCTCACCGCGTCACAGGAGCGATGTCCCCTGAGGGCCGCTGTGTCCACAGGCAGGGAGAAGCAGACAGTTAAAACCTCTGGGGCTCCGGGGTGTGGAGCGTCGTGACCTGCGGCGACTAACGCTCCCTGTCTCTGCTCCTCCCCTGCCTTGTTTTGTCTCCGGCTGGCCAGAACTCCCGATGCCTTCGGATCAGTACGAGCTGCAGCTGCAGAGCGACCCCCAGGGCCCCGAGGGCGACGCGGGCTGGCCTGTGGCCGTCTTGGCCCCGGACACCTCCACCGTCACGGCCGTGCAGCTGGGGCAGACCAGCCTGGTGCTGGGCCACAGGAGTATCCTTCCCAGGCCGCTGCCCGCCGCGTGCGGGAGAGCGGCTGTGCAGAGCCGCTTTTCTCCCTGAGAACGGCTGAGCTAAACATAGCCCTGCTTTCGTCATGGTCTGAATCCTAAAGAACCACAGCAGCAGCGTGGCTGGGTGCAGCGGCTCACCGGGCCGTGCGTGACTCCCCGAGAGGCTCCGGGCGCGGGCGCGGGCCCGCCCCTCGTCCCCAGGCCCGGCTGGGGCTTCTCGCTGGCATGTGGGCCCAGGCCGCTGGCGTGCCCCGTGCTGCCCCCACATGCTAGTGTGGTTAGTACGCTGCGGGCGCTGGGTCCAGGCAGCTGACCCGCTCGGCCTCGGGGGAGCGGCGGTGGTGGTCGGGCTGGCGGCGGCTGCCTTGTTTGTGCCTTAATTGAGAACACAGGTATCCGCATGCAGGGCGCCCCGCGGCTGCCCAACAGCACCATCCACGTGGTTGAGCCCGGATACCTAGGTAAGCCGGGGCTCCGGGCGCCGCCAGGCAGCAGTGCAGAACAGGCTTTGTGGTGACGGCGCCAGCTCCTCTCAAACCCGGTGGCTGGCGCCTTCGGAGACCCTCGGGGGGCTTCTCCCCAGACCCCCCTGGGGGTTGCACGGTAGCCGGCACAGCAGACCCGAGTGGGTGGGGGTGACTGGGCGGCAGGGAGAGTTGGGGTTCGCTGCGTCGGGGAGGGCCCTGCCTCCTCGTTGTACCAAGCTCTAGCCAGACCTGACTCTGCCGTGGGCATTTGGGGGCCAAGCCCCAGGGCGCGCTTAGTGTAGAGACGCGTGGCAGTTGGCAGATGTCTTGGGGGGTGGGGAGGAGAGGAGAGACGTTTGGCGAGAGAAGGGGGGATGGGAACCGGCCCCCGTGGAGACCCTGGGGGACAGCTAGGCCTCGAACACCCAGGACATGGGTGTCCCCACGTCCCTGAGGAAGCTGTTCCGAGTTGACTCACCTGTGGGCGACGTTCGGCCTTGAGGGTTAGACTGAAGTGCAGGAAGCCCCGGGTCCCCCGTGAGCTGCGGGCGAGTTTGCCATTGGGCACAGGCCCACGAGGGCAGGGCGGTGACACCAGGCACGGTGGCCCTGTGTGTCTCAGGGGCTTTGTTTATTCAGAAACGTTTGTTTGTGGCTTCCGTCTGTCGGGCCTCTATTAGGGAACTTCGGGGAGAGGGAACGGGGGCCCTCGTAGCAGGCGGTGCTGGGGGAGCATCAGACAGGCAGCCAGAGGGCGTGGTGAGCGATGAGCGAGTGTGGGACAGAGGCAGCGGGAGATGTAGCGGTCTCAGCAGCTGCTGGTTTGTGGTTCTGGCAGAGGGGACAGCTGGGATGTGGGCTGACCAGGAGAAGGCACAGGGGGTCGCGGGGGCGGGGGCATCCGGCGGGGTGTGGCTGGAAGAGGCCCGTCCTCTCCCCTCCCTCCACGGTGTGGCCAGCTCTGCTGCCTGTCGTTGCAGGGTTTACTGTCCACCCTGGGGACAGGTGGGTGCTGGAGACCGGCCGCCTGTACGAAGTCACCGTTGAAGTGCTTGACAAGTCTGGCAACAAGATCTACCTGTCGGATGTGAGTGTCCCACTCAGGACCCGTGGGGGCCGGGGTGGATGGGGGTCCCAAAGCATCGGGGGCCGCCACGCAGGCAGGCGGAGTTGGGGTGCTTCCCGGTGCTGGGCTGGTGCGCGGGAGACGCTGTGAGTCTGCGCCTCCCTCGGGCTGGGCAGGGAGGGAGTGGAGGGGGGAGGTGACCACCTGCCTCCTGCTCCCTCCTGGTGGGCGTGAGGACTTCACCCCACTGAGCGGCCATCTTTGCCTGCTCTGCGGGGCCTTCCCTGCGGGACTAGGACCCCGGAACTCTGTGGAGGCTGGGCCTGGGCTGCCCTGGGTCAGGCGGCTTCTCGCCTGCGTTCCCCGTCTTTCTCCAGAAGCACCTTCCTCACCCCCGCCTTACCTTGCAGAACATCCGCATTGAGACGGTGCTTCCTCCTGAATTCTTTGAGGTGCTCTCGTCTTCTCAGAATGGCTCTTACCATCTTGTGAGGGCCATAAAGAGGGGCCAGACAGCCATTGAGGCAGCCCTCACCTCCGTGGTGGACCAGGCAAGTGGGCGCCCTCCCCCTCCCCCGCCCACCCTCATCCCCTCCTCAGGCGGCGCCAGCAGCCCCAGCTAGCGGGGAGACCCCAGGAGTCGGGGACCCCAGGCTCAGCCTGCTGCCGCCTCATAGGCGCCGTGGGCCCCGCTCTGGCTCACTGTGTAATGAGAGGCCAGGGCGACCTCCCGTCCCACGACAGTGACTCGCGGCAGGCTCAGGTTTGGCCTAGGGAATGCGGCTCTGATCGGGCGGAGGCCAGAGCAGGCGGTGGCCACTGCGTCCCTTCTCCGCCCAGCACGGCGCTCCTGTGGAGGGCTCCTGTCGGCCTGGCAGCGCGTGCCGTGACCAGGCCGCACCCGCCACTCCTGCTGCTGCGAGCGTTTGGCGTTAGGACAGGACAGCGCGTCCGTGATTTCTGGGAGGCCGGGACCCTGAAGAACACAAGTGGGGGTGGGGGAGAGAAAACACGTAAAAGAAATGCACCTTTTGAATGGGGTCCCTGGGCACTGGGCTTTGGGGCCCCCCGCCCCCTGTCTCCACACTAGGCCCCTCTTTCACTGCCTTTTGCTGGTCCCTGTGAAGATGGGCCCTCTGTCCAGCTGTGTTCCTGCCTGGAGCCCTGGGCACTCCCTGTCTTCCTGACCTCCCACCGCCCGGCCGCTCCCCTGGGGCTGGAAGCCAGTCGGCTCAGTGACAGGCGGTCGGCGGGTTCTCTGCCTGCCGCGCACAGAGCCTCTCACGCACCCTCAGAGGCGGCAGGCCAGGGAGGGGGTCCCGGCAGCCATCCCCCCAGCCGCCTGCCCCTGCGGCTGGGGCTCTGGGCGAGGCGCTTGCCTGTAAAGTGGGGGTCATGTGTCCTTCATGGCAGGGCGCTGTGGGGGTACAGTCAAGTGTCCTGCTGACCATGGAAAGCAGTCTCTGTTGAGACAGAGCAGGCTCTGGGACAGTGGCTTCTTTCTTCTGCCCCCCACAAAATCCTTTGCGACCCCATCCTCAGGGAGGTTGACCGGGAATGGGCAGCCTGGTTGCAGGGGTGACTGTGCTCTCACCCACTGCAGGACGGAGGGGTCCATACGTTACGGGTGCCTGTGTGGAACCAGCAGGAGGTGGAAATCCACGTGCCCATCACCCTCTATCCCGGCATCTTGACGTTTCCCTGGCAGCCGAAGGCCGGCGCCTATCAGTACACCATCAAGGTAACCCCCGCCGCGCCGGGCCCACGCGCCGCCCTGGGGTGGGGGCTCCCCGCACTAGAGAGTGCCTTTTAATATTGACGCTGTGGTCAGAGCCAATGTTACGTCGACAGATCTGCCGTCTTTTCCGAGTTCCCATCCCAGAAGTGCATTTTGGCAGTCGGGGGGAACCAGTGTGAAAACAGCAAACTTGGAACACATTTTCCACATTTGTTTTTATATACAGTGATTGTTTCTCAAGGCAGGAAAACGCGAGTGCAAGGGAAAATGCCTCCCGCCCTGTGACGCGCCAAGTGTCCGTCTTGCCGGGGCCGGGGGGGCCTGACGCGCCAGGGCCTGGCCCCCGTGGCCTTCACGGCCCCCTCAGTCCCGCCTGCTGGCTCTGTCTGCACGTGGGGACGTGCTGCTTGTAGATTCAAAGAAAAATAAGCGAGTTAACCTGAAGATCTAACAGCGTCAGGAGACAGTTCGAGCGGAGAGCCAGCCCGAGGGTTGGCGAAGGCGGGAGGCTTTTCCAGGAAGGAGGCGGCCGAGAGAGAGGGAGACTTACTGGAGGGCCAGGTGGGGGCCACGTCTCGTTGGCTGGGCCGCTGCATGTCCACTGGCTGGACTCACTGCTGGGCCCGTAGGAAACTCCTTCCACCGGGAGCTGGAACTGCCGTTAACGGCTGCCTTCCTCTCCGGGGTCACTGGGAGGAGTGGGGGGCTGAGGGCCCGGCTGTGGGCTTCCTGTGCGGTCTGTCACGATGCCCACTCAGGTGTGTGGCCTTCCTGGCCCTGGAGGGCTCCGGGGTGGTGGCCCCTGCTGTGAGCTCGTGCCGGGTGCCTGGGAGCCAG